TGTAATTTGAAGGTATCATTTTAATTTTGCTAGTTGTTTATGTCACAAACTATTAGCATTACACTCAGTGCTGTATGGGAATTATGATTTATGAGTAAAATTAGTGCAAAAAAGCATTGCTAAGGATTCTGTATGGTGTGAAAGGGGGGGTCAGTGGGGAGGTGACACCATGAGTTACCACACTGGGTGACACCAACCCTGGGGATGCCACTGGTGACAAGACAGAGATGATTATGTGCAATAAGTGGGGTCAAAGTCCCTATTTTCTAAAAAACCTTATATGTTAATCTCCTGATTGACTATTCAACTGGCGGCATTTTGGTTGTTCTCCTGCTAAAGATATCACCCAGCTGGTAGTTTTGGAATGATTAATGTCAGCAGCCTTACTCTATTTCCTCATACAGCAGAGACAAATGGAGTATGCCTTTCCTTTCCACCTGTTGGCAACAACATGTGCTTGGTGTGATTTACTGGAAGGTATGCTGGCTTGGTAAAGAATAGCATATTCATCTGCAAATAATATTGTTCCCCCAGCTTGAGTGATAGGAAAATCATGCTGTCAGACCAAAAATGAAGAAGTGAAAAGGGTTTGTTTCCTTAAAAAATCCTAAAATAATCCTATGCAACAAATGGGAAAAGGAGGCTTATCTTCATGTGGGTGAAAGGCATGTAATGGGGGGGGGCAAGCAGAAATAAATAAGGTAGCTCCAATCACTAGTTACTTTTGGAGAGAGCACAACATGGCCATAGTGAGGAAGAAAGCAGCAATGACAATAGCATTGGGGGAGTGGTTGGTTGAAACCACCTTATACAATAGGTGCTGGAAGGAAGATTAGAGATAGCTAAAGTACATTCTCTCCACTGGGAAGGGCGGTGATGAGAAGATTTTAAGAGTTTGGGTATCAGTTCTTGGAGTGACAAAGACTTTTGCTCTGTTCTGCCCATATCTGATGCCAACCAAAATTATTACAAGAATATTTGACTTCACCATGGCAACAAATGGCCAAACTATCCACCAGCATGAGGGGGCAGATTCACATTTTGCAGAGATGGGTAATTTATCACAGATTCTGGCATTGGCATTCACACCATACTGAAATGTGGAGTCAGAGCTGCTTAAAACTACAATCTTTACATACATATACTTATCAACAAATATATATATAAATGTGCAGCACATCTCTTTAAAACAAAACAGTCTCAAGCATGGATCACTCTGCATAGGATTGCATCCTTATTTATATATAGGTGTAATTCACCGAAAGGACTTAAATACCTTAAAGGCACCCAATTCTGCCTGATCTTGGGAGCTAAGCAGCATCAGTCATGGTTAGTACTTGGATGGGAGACCACTAATGAATACTAGCTGCTATAGGCTATATTGCAGAGGCAGGAACTGGCAAAACTAAATATTCCTTGCCTAAAAGAACCCTATAAGATGAAGTAGATGTTGTGTCCCTGGGCACATGACAGGCACTCCGATTACATCCTTCCGGCTCAGCGTCCATACACACTAAGCCAGAAGGGACACCAAAAAGGCACGCCACACCTCTTGTGGTGCCCCTTTTACAGGCGGCGAATGGGAGGATTGGGGCCGAGGTGTCCGGCAGCCTTGGCCTCGATCCTCCGCTTCAGGGGGCAGCCCAAGGCCACCCATCTGCTTCCCCCAATACACATCTTAAATGAAACAACCAGGTCAGAGAAGCCTAGAGTAATAAACAAAAACATTTTGAACCTTCTAGAGACCACATGCAGGTTTTTCCCAAAATACATGGCCAAATGTATAGATCCATCCTTTTTAAAAACGCGTTGGAGGCTTATCTGCATTCCCCTTTTCTCTATTTTACTTTTCATATTTATTCAGTAAGGGATTTGGGAGGCAGCCACTATTTACCTTGCCTGTTGAAAGCAGGAACACACAGCTACATTAAAATAGTCTAGAGCAGAATCAATGGACCTTATCACACGGGGGTCTGAAGCGGTGCCATCCCCGTCG